GACATGTGCCCCTTCATCATTTGTTGGACCCATATAATTATTTTATTTTATTTTAAGAAATAGTAGATCGCCGACCCATTATCAATCATTACAATCCATTAACATAACAAATGAGCAACTTTTTTATCAATTAAACAATAATGATCTTAATAGTGGTTCCCCAAAAATGAAAGACATAAGAATGATGCATAACGCTACTAGTTTTACATATTCATGTCAAAATATATATTTTCAGTACTGTACTACACAGAATTAATACTCCCTTAACTGCAAACAGACAAAAGGCCAACTGGTGAGAGCTTCTTTACATAGCAGTGGCATTTATTCTTAAAGTAACTTGTTTAAATCCACAAACTGCTACTTAAATGAGTGAAAATAGTCACTACAATAACAATTTAAGTGGCTATATGAGATATCTGGCCAAGTTTAACGAGGAAGAGTTCAATACATAATAGTAATATATAAGAAACAAGAACGCTTACCATTTACGGACAAATCCTGGTGGGGACTTGGCGGCCCCTGATCTCCCTCTTTTCCCAAATCAACCAGTAGATCTAAGTTTCCTTTTTGGCAATTTGTGGATACAAATGATTCCATATTCTAAACCAATCGAGCCAGCGGAAGCAAAACTGTGGTCAGCCTTATGTCCCAAACCCACAAGAGGTGGAGTGTTGCTTTGCTGGCAAGAACCAACTACTGACAACATTGAAGAGTAGGGCACGCTTCAACAGCACTCCAGATGAGACAGACACACTGAAGCCACAAAGAGGAAAAGAAGAGCTCTGCCAATATCTGTTACTCTACTACATACAATACTTTTCACCAATTCAAGGTTGTTCCTTCTGTTCATTGTGGTAAATGTGGTAAAAACCTATACAACAACAACATACCCAGTATTAATCCACTCCGTGTGGTCTGGGTAGGGTAGTGTGTATGCAGACCTTACACCTACCTTGTAGTAAAAACCTATAATCAGATTAAATCATTTAATATTGTATGTGATGTTGAAAGAAAGAAATAATGTACTCCTATGAGTTGGTGGTATGGTCGGGAGCAACATTGATGGTATTGCGCTCAAAATCCTTGATGGTTTGGGCGAGCTTCTTCATGTTGTCATCGTATACATATGGTCGCTTATCGAACCAGGTAATGTTATGCTTAGAAGACAAGGGTACAAACTCGCGACAGAGCTCCTCGTGTACAGTGATGGAGTTGTGATAATGATAGTAGCGGATCTTGGTTTCTGTCTGGTGCAACGTCCCCCCTATTACATTTTCGGACATGTGTACACCTGTTGCATATGCATTCTTTGCCTGAATGGCATACTTCCGATCTCTCCTAATGTTAGTTCTTGAGTCCCTAAACAGTAACTTCTCGAAGCCCCATTGCCTGTAACAACCACTATAAATGAGAAAAGGAAAGAAAAACCAACCCAGGGTTATCAAATGGAGGTTATGTATGAGCACAGAGATGTCTGATTTTTAGTTTCATTGCTGACTTGATGGTCAGTCCTAGGAAGAAGTGTAACTACTTGAACAATGCTATTGACTGCATCCTTTATTTTCTAAATGCAAACACCAAATGCACTGAAGATTAAGGAAAGCTTCAGGTACTTGTACAGTCGTCCATAATGTCAAATGGATGATCAGAAAAACTCAAGGTCCAATAAAACAGGCATTGATGGTACGAAACTAGATCAGCAACTCCTAAATTTGATGACGCCAAAGAAGCACAAAAATGCCTCTTAACTAATAAACGAATAGGTATTAAAAGATCAATAAAGTCTTAGTTCCTGATTAGCTCAAATGCACTTGCTTAGTTGCCCAAGAGAGAAAATTGGAAGCAACTAGTAACAGTAGCAACAGTTACTATGATAACAAGAACAACAATGACTAAAGGCATATAAATGGAAAATAAGCAAACTATTAATCAGCTCAGTGATGAAGTCTACGGAGTAATAAAAGTAGAGAAAGGAGAAGTTGGAACTTGTGGAATATATACCTGGAATAGTCCTGAGAGGAATCGTTGAAGCAGAGCATGCTGGACATGGCATTTTGCTCAATTGTGAACTGAGTATTGTTGGAGAACTCTCTTAGCACGGACTCTAGAGTGTTGCCGTCGGGAAGATAAATGTATTCGTCTACATCAAAGTAGAAGGTCCAATTGGCAGCGTGTCGGTAGCGATGGAGGCAATCATTCACCACCAAAAACTGGTTGTAATAGTACCCGTCGAACTCAGACTGGTCCCTAATGTCCTGAAGCGTGACCCTGCCAGCAAGTACCCACGGCTCCAGCACCGCCCTTACCTCCGGCGACACCCCACCGGCATCATGAAACACGAAATGGGAGCTAGGTCCGAAAAACCAGGCGTGATAGGCCATCCACTCCTTCATCCTTGACGCACTCACATTCCCATACAAGGACGAACCACAATACAAGTACTCGTAGGGATATGGCGGGCTGAACTTGGACTCGTCGTAAGACCCCGGTGCTTCCTCCAATACTGTGATTTTCTCATATCTTTTAGGTGACTCCCCGTAGTAAGCGTAGAGAATGAGCTTCCCTCCCTTATTATCAGCGTTAGGATTCACGGTAAATGTGCAGTTTACAACCACCACAGTGTAGACACGGCCATAGCCCCAGTCGGGGAGGATCTTAATAGCTTTGGCCTTCTTAGAAGCAGAGAAGGAGGCATTGCCATTGCTGTTGGGGATCCACTCGCATTTATACCAAGGGCGGCCAAAGACGTGAAGGGGCTTGGAAGCAAGACCGACGACGGCGAAAGTGGTAGGACCGCCGCGATAGGCGCCCATCTGGACGAAGAGAGAAGCGGCATTGCCGTAGGCAAGGAAGGTTCGTTTGTTAGGGTCGGAAATGGAGAGTTTAGAAGAAGAGGGAGGGGCAGGGGAATTAATGATGGTATCGAAGTAAGGCTGAAGATTCCAGATGAGCATAACAAGGGTGAAGGCGAGCAATGTGGCCATTAAAGGCCTGGTGTCGAAGCAGAAGGACATTTTCCCTGCGGAGAGAGTTGGGTCTTTAGCCATTGAAGCTGAAAACAGAGGAAAGTGAAGGGGAAGAGACAGAAAGACAAGGGTCTTATTGAGTGAGTGTGAGACTGTATTGAGTTGTCGTCTATGCAATCTAACATTTCTGTCCACGCTTTCCTCCTCTTACCACTAGGCACTTGGATCTTTACTTTATTACCGGTTTTGCCATTTCTTTTTCTTGATCTGGAAATATTATACTAGTACGACATAAACGCAGGGCTCGAGTCTGGATAGTACTTATGAAGCTGAAATTAATAGCTCTTCCCTCTTGGACTTGTACTATACTACTTCCTTGAATTCACTTCTTCACCACCTCCTTTTCAATTTTTATCATTACCAGCTCTTAAATACAGTTGTGTTGATTGTAAAGTAATTAGTTTATGTCATTGAATCTATTTTTAGTCATTACTTCAAATAGTTATGTTATCTTCCTCAGGTACTCCCTCAATCGTGTTTGGGTTTTATTATTTACTTTAAGAAAATATAAAAAGGTGCATTTGTGTTCTTACAATGTTATTACTTTCTAAAACAAAATAATATTTTCACTCTACAATGTGTGATAACTTGAACACTAGTATAGAGTATAGTGTTTCAAAAAATTCTGTTGGTAGCATTCTGGAGACTGATGACCTCCCTAAAGTTTAAGTAAGAACATCCGATTCTGATTGATCACAATTTGAATATGTAGATAAACTTATTAAAAGTTAAAAACGAAACATAGAACTTTATTTGAAAAGTTAGGGAGTAAATAGCGCATTTTACGTATCATTACATGGATACTCTTGGATTACACAAACTAGGCTTGACCAAAGACTATAATTCCTTCATAACGGAGGCAAAATTCGTGTTTGCCTAATCCAGGGGAAAAGAGAGAAATTATGGATTGACCCCTAACTCTGATTTAAAACCTTTACATCTATTTAATTATTTTAATGTGATGTTTCCTTGTTAAACTAGTTTGTAAAAACAATTTTATGTTTTCTTCTACTATTATTAATACAATAAAAAGTTAATTAATATTTAGACTTTGTACTAAATTAGTGTAAAGTCAAAACAGATGCACGGACTAGAAAAACATGTGAAAAAGAAAATAGATAAGTTGCACATACAACTAGGGTTGTACAAATGAAACTGACAAACCGCACCAACCCGATAATCCGAGTCAAACCGAGAAAAAAATCGACTATGGTTTGGTTTGATTTGGTTTGTGTTTACCCTCAAAATCGGATAACAATTGAATTTGTAAGTGGGTTTAAGAATACGTGATTTAACTTGGTACAAAACGACAAATTAGAGTGCAATTGGAATAAGTAATGGAAAAGTAAATGCTAACCACATAAGTTGAACAATCTTAGCTCTGGAAGGTTAGCCACCCTCGAGCCAAAAGTGCTTTGATTGATAACATAAGAGAACAACAAGAGAATAATAGAACTTAAAGAGAATAATAATATATTGTTTTGGGATGCATGTTACAATGTGTTGAATGAATTATCAGATACCCTTTTTATAGTAGAGTAGTCCCACTCTAGGTACATTTCCATAAAAGGTAAAAATCACTTGATTCGCTGATTGCCGGTTACTTACTGATACGTGCCGAGATTCCCGCCGCAATATCCGATTGGTCGCGGATATTTTGGTCTTCTGTTAGTTAACTCAACAATGTTTCTCTGAGCTCGTTCGAGGCTAAGGTTGACAACGGACTCACTGCTCCTCGAAGGTAGGCATTCCGACATCGGGTTCTAGATCGGTGGGACTCGAGATTGATCTTCACTTGGTTGCCACGTTCCAAGCCTAATCTACCAAGTTGTAGGCGAGCTCGATTTCGACCGTATACAGATAGTCCCCTCGTATTTCGGAGAGTAGATAACGAGAAACGACATGAACTTCCGATCCTAACTTCGATATTTTGTGACAGAAACGACAAAACAGTCGAAACATCTCGTTAGTCACGTCTTAATGGCATTAAATGCCCGTCAGTTGCCGGTCGGCCACTCCCAGATGTGAACAGTCGCTGAGAAACTATAAATACCCCCTTTATTAGTTCATTCAAACTTTACTTTCAAACCTTCTGACCTCGTACCTTAGAAATTTCAACACTTCCAAGCATTGATTTTTTGGTTACTCTGAAATCCTTTTATAAGAACTTTTGCTGTGTCTTATCCCAAACCATGAAGCATACTCTTTTAACTCCCTTTTTTCCCTTCTTTTTTCAAAGAAATGGCGAAGAAACTCCCTCTTCCTCGCGGCCGCCTACCGAGGAAACCGTCTCGCGCACTGTTGTCGAGGAACCGTCACCGGAGCCTCCTCTGAAAATGTTTATTCCCGGGGGGTACCCGGTCAATGCCGATTTCAAGGTTGAAAAGCCTTCTTCCGTACCAGGCCGATGTGAGGCGGTCTCGAGGTACATCTGCTCGATCATCGAGGATGTTCTTGTTGAAGTCAAAAAGGATTGCAACTGGGCTGACAAACATGTGGTGGTTCCTGAACCTGACGAAGCCATCACCACCCACGTTGAGGAATTTTTAAGTTTTTACACGTATCCCTTCACGTTGGATCCCTTGAACCCGGTCATCATCGATTTCTACAAGAGATATGAGGTAACCCTCGGTTAGATTCACCCTTCTTTCTGGAGGATCGTAATTCTTCTCCGTTTCTTTGTGAGCAAGATTGAGGGGTGCCCTTTCACGATTGACCACCTTATGCGTTTATACAGTCCCCGACTCTACCGGGAGGACTGATCAAGCTTACCCGTCGGGCTAGTAAAGTTGCGTTCTCGAGTATCGATGAAGATAGGGATCGAGGATGGCTAGGCCGTTTCATCCGAGTGAGGACCTCTGACTTGATCCCGGCCGAGCACATGTCGTTCCCTAGGAAGTGGAACATGAAACGTAAGTATATAATTTTGTTTTCAAGGTTTTATTTATCGTTTTTTTCCTTCCTTCTTATCGATGTTCTATGACGGTGCAGCTGTTGCCCGGATCCCAAACGCGGTTCCCCAACTCAAGGAGTGGGTCTAGGGCATTGTATCGCAAAGGCCTTATTCCGAGCGCTTGTGGCACGAGCTTTCAAAGGGCCGATGGGAGGCCCGTTCGCATGGTGAAATCTCTTTCATAAGTGATATTTGGTTTCCTTTTTGCATGATTTCTTACTTGTTTTATTTAAATTATGCCTCTTTGCATAATTTAAATTTCTTTTTAAATTATGTTTGTCTTCATTATGGCTTAGTAATAATATTTATTTTATGCGATTTTATTATCTTTATTGTTGAATACTTTAGTACAATGCCATGACTCATCTCATATTTATGTCATTTTATTGAAAACCACCTTATATAGTTCTGGCTTACTAGGATTAAAGAAATATTTGGAGCACAAATTTTACGTTTTGTGCTATGAAGACTTTATGAAAAAACAATCGAAAAAACGAGAAAAACTGAGATTAAAAAACCCGACTTTTATTGGTTTGATTTGGTAATTAGATTTAATAACCCAATACAATTGGTTTGGTTTGGTAATTAGAAAATTTGAACCAACCCGACCCATGTACACTCCTACATACAACAACTTATTTTTTTTGTGGTGAGGAGTTTGGGGGAGGGAACTGGTTTGACATTAAGAGCTTGTTTGGAAAGCCACCTAGGAATTGGATTTGGGTGTATTTGGATGTAATTACACAATTTGGCATATTTGTCTCGCTAAGTAATTACTTGGTCAGCATGTAATTGAGTATAATTGGAGAGGTGTAATTACACTCTCCAATTCTCAAGGGGAGGTGAGAATTGGTAGTAATTATACCATGTAATTACAAGGTTACTTTTTAATTTCTTTCTTTTTTGTTTCTATTTTAATTTATTTCCTTTATAACTTTTTATTTCCATTATTTTAATTTTTTAATGTTATTTTACTTTTTAATTTCCTTTTAAATTTTAAAATATATTTTTCTTTGTACATTATTTATCTTTTATTTCTCTACCTTACTTCTTGTGATTTCATGTAATTGCTCGTATATTTTAATTTTTATTTATTTTATTTTCTTTATTTAGTGCAACTTCATTGTTATTCTAGTGTTTTGAAATTATACCTCCTAATATTAAAAATAATGAGTCATTAACAAACTTGACATTTAATGAGCGATGTCATAAATTAGAATTTCATTATTGAATGAGGTTATAAACTTATTATGTTTCCTACTCTTAAGTTGTGTTGGAACTTATTTTTATTATGTTGAAATTTGAAATATGTTAAACAATATTTTTTTTTTTGGATTTTGAAATTATGTTATATTTATGGTTCTAATTTACTTGTTTTAGTAGTATTTGTTTTTCATCTCGTAGTAGTATTGGCTTGTTATTTCATATTGCATGTTGTTCGATCTTTTTAGTTAGAATTGATAAGTTAACTTTGTCAAACATTTGAATAATGTTATAACATTATATTATTTTATCAAACATGCATTCCAGATGTTCTTACAAAACGTATGTTTTTAGTTTTTATAATTAATTCTATTAAATATTATTAATTTGAAATATATATATCAATTATTTTTACAATATTAGTTATAAATATATGATTACTAATTAATGTATATTCAAGTTCGTTATATTCAAGTTTATAATTAATTAATGCATCTTAAATACCAAATCTAATATCATTTATAAGCATATATTTATGATATTAACTTTTAAGTTTTGATAATTACTTCATTTAAAATTTAATCTAATTGAGTAATTACATTGTGCAACCAAACAGTACGCTTGTAATTACACTGTAATTACGTTATGACAAACAAACATGTCAGCGTAATTACTATATTGTGTAATTACTAGGCTGTGTAATTACCACCTAGTAATTACATCAATTCCAATTATAGGGTGGCTTTCCAAACATATCCTAAAGAGAGAGTGATCGACCGTTTTGGCCCTTGGGCATTCACATATTTGGGAACCATATGGCACTAATACGTAACCAAAGTGGGAATGAGAGATGACAATCAACAATGGAAGAAAGAGGGATAAAGTGCGAATAATACAACTTTGAAAAGATTAATATTGAAATTCCTGATCCTTACAGTAACATTATGCAGATATATTGGAAGTACATACGACATAATTAAATGCCATATATTATCTTCAAATCAAGTAACTAAAAGGGAAAATAAAGAAAAAGATATATGCTGTTAGTTTGTAATTGGTGTGTATATATGTATGAGAAAGTAGCAATATTTCCGGAATGGAATTAGCAGCAATAATTGGGTATCATAGGGAACACAAAGTCCAACCAATTACAGTAAATTATTAATCATGCAGAAATTAATAGATTCGACAACAGAGAAAGGTTCTGCTCAAATTCTACCATATACGGTAGTAGTGTTTAGCTTTTGTGCAAATTGGAATGGGGGTAAAGATCTTGATCTTTAATCCACAATCTACACGAAGCCCCCTTAGTGAACGTGGCCAACTCTTTTAAGCAATACCCCCAAAGAAAATTAAGAAGGCAGCTTTGTTAACATTTTCCACACCTTTACTTTATACCAGAATAAGTATCTTCCCAGAAAGTGATTTTGATTCGTGCCATGGCTCTTGTTGTCTACTGGTGTAGTAAGAAAGACAGAAAAAGGGAAAAAAGGACAGGCTTGATTGAAAAATATTGCTCCTGTTGTTGCAGAGAATAAAAGGGACTAGGTAGAGGGGCCTCATTTTCCCTCAAAATTCAAACTTGTCCACTACCAAAGAAATCCTTAAAAGCTAATCTTTGACTACCAAATGTAATTGCTTCATTTTGGTTTCACCTGATAAATCAATCCTTATGCCTCAATTCCAAATTAGTTGTATCAACTTATGATTCATCTATATCTATTCATTCAAATGATTCGTCGTAATTAGATTATTTTTAATTTGTCAATCAACCTACTGTATCCACGACTAATTTAACTTGATACGCCAAGAGAAATTCTCGTAAAAATAGCACGGGCTAGTCAGTTTTCGGACTGGTAATTGAAAAATAGTCAGCGTTTGCAAAGTCATTAAAAATAGCCATTATTTTGCTGCAACACGAAAAGTTCCTACATAATATACTAGAGATTGGAGCACCTCTGTATGAACATTATGTTGGACCAGTATATTATGCTGGAACTCCAGTATATTATACTGGAAGTTCACATGTAAAAAATTCAAACTTCAGTATATTATGCTGGAATATTTTCCGGATTTTGAACAGTGTTTTCGTTCAGACTTATCTTTACATGAAAAATGGGTAAATTTCGATTACTTTTTGAAACTGTGACTATTTTTTAATTACCACTTGTAAATCTGGCTATTTTGAATTTCGTACAAAATTCTCTGCCAGCATCCGACCAAGCATAAATATGAGCTAGCTCACACTCAACTCATTAAGGTTCTTCAGAATTTCGCTTTTGGAACCAAACAAAAACATGATGAAGAACACCAACATAAAGCCCCTAAGGAGATCAGGGACATCTCTAGTAGCAATGAAAAGATTCAATAATACCTCTTCGTTCTCGTTGACACAAGCTCCACTCTCAGCTGCCTCTGCTCATTCCTCGGCTGCAAAGACCAAGGGTGGTAACCAGCCATCTCCCACTCCAACCTACATAGAGTTCCCAACATCGCCCCAGCCACCTGATGATCACGACGGGGTTCATGCTCATCACAATGGAACCATTGTTCATCATACTCACTCAAAGCACCCACTTGCTGAGATTACTCTCTCGGAACTATTTACTTGCTCCGGTTGCAAGGAGTTTGGCGCTGGCCGTAGGTATGCATGCCAAGATTGTGATTTTCAGCTTCATCACTTTTGTGCCTTATCTCCACCCTCTCTTAAGGCTCATCCTTTCCATGGCCAACACCAACTCGTCTTCCATGCTAAACCTAAACAAGGTACACATGTTTCCTGAACAAAATGGTACATTTTTTGTTAAGATATATGCTTCTACAAACTTAAATGCCTCTATATTCTTTGGTATACTTTTCTCATCCCCAGAATTCCATATCTTCTTTTCCTAAACAAATCAGTTAAAGCTGGAATAACGTGGCCAAGGTGTGATGTCTGCGGCAAATCCACCAAAGGATTCACATTCAGATGCAGAATCAACTCCTGCAATTTCCAAATGCATCCCTGTTGTGCCATGCTTTCCACCGAGGTTAAACTTCCCATTCACCCACACCCACTTAAAGTCGTACCACCAGGAAATGCTTTATCAGGTGGGGCTGGAGGTGGTAATGTTCAATCAGGAATGGTGTGCGGTGCGTGCAAGAAGAAAAGATCATCAGGTCGAGTGTATAGCTGCACAGTTTGTGACTACCATCTTCATGCATTGTGTGCTAAATCCATGATCAACGGCCTCCAAGAATATGGAATCAAGCCTCCTGAAAAGCCCAATGTGCTTGGGACTGCTGCTCGTCTTGCTTCTCAGGTTGTTATTGAATTTATTGGAGGTCTTATTGAAGGATTAGGAGAAGGGGTCGGAGAAGCTCTGGTTCAGAACATCGGGAGAGGAAGGAGAAGCACTAGCAGAAGAAGGATTGCATGAAGGATCGCGTAGGGAGCCCCCTTATCTCCCAACTAATATTTCCAAACCCCTTTCTCCCTTTTCCCTTTCCCATTTTCTTTCAGACTCTCAAGAAAGTGGGAAAAATGCAAATTAAAAATTCCTTAATATTCTTCTTAAAGGACTTGAAAAAATAATTCATTAAATTGTTTAGTAAGTTAGCTTATTGTAACTTTCAAGTGATACATAATGAGCAAATTTCTACATATTACAAAAAGGATGCGTGCCACATAACATGTAAAAGAAGTATATTTTCTTCCCTATCATTTACATCGCATCATAAATACAAGCTATATGGTTAATTCCAGCACTTGAGTTTTTTCTACATTCCCATTACAAACAAGATCATATAAGGTTAATTGCGCTGGATATGGACAACCTCGAATACTCTTCTGGGTGCAAAATGTTTTCCCCTTTTCAACATACGATGTCATTTTTAGAAGAGAGTTTAGATAAACTAGGGAGCTCATGTATAACAGCGTCACAATACAAATAAGACAACAATTATAGCTGGAGGGTATAGGATTAACCCCCACTGTCACAACTTGGGTAAGTGAACTTTCTACAGAGAATTTAGAAGAGAGAGCAAGTTATTATGAAATGGATCTGAAATATGCTCCAGAAGATTTTGCACAGGGCCTTTACCTGTAAGAGCCGCTTGGACATAAAAGCCTAACCAGGCAACCATAGCAAGGCGGCCATTTTTTATTTCTTTCACCTTTAGCTCTTCAAAAGCCATTGGATCTTCAGAGAGATTCAGTGGATCAAAAAGAACACCTCCAGGATAATTGATATCACCAGGCAGGTAAATCCCTAGGGGTTCCAAAGCCTCAATCCCACAATACCTTGCGTATTCTGGTCCAACCTATGCGCGCAAAAGTATGACAAGAACAGCCAATTACAAGGCAAGAAGAAAGTCAAGTCACATTCCTCATTAATAATGTGAAAAAAAGCCACTTCCCAAGTCCAGTTCCTACAGATCTGTGGTTTCTTTTGAGTAGAAATTGCCAACTATCGACTATAAAAATTTATTATCCTTTAAAGTCTTCCCTACACATGGGATTATCTCCATGGAAATTGTTTCAACGTGTTCATCAGCTATGGCAAACAGGCAAGTATCCAATATGTCATCAGACACTAGGAGTCTAGGATTTTAAGGGAAATAAGTAGCAAATTGTTCCTTGATTGCAAAAACAGAGAAATATTCAATTGGAACTTAAGATCAACATTTCTCCTTTATCTCAACGCACCATCAAAAGTTCTCAACAGAATATTCACTCTCTCAACCAGCTGCAATGGTCGAGACCGGCACAATTAAATTATCATGACAAATATGGCAGAAGAAAGCAGCGATTCATTAATCATTTTAACCAATCAAGTATCAGCTATATGAATGAAATTTGAACACAAATCTATGTTGTACTTCACTTTCTAGAAAGAGCTTGACCTATGGGGTTGCTATCTTAATCTTGAAAAATAGTAACATGAGCCAAAGCCCAAAAGCTCATATTACCTTCGGCTCATAGATTCACTGTACTCTCAATCATCTCCTTGACAGCAAAATCCCTACCTTTTAACACATTGAGTGCATTGCAAAACAGACTGCACCTTTGACAAGAAGAATTAAGATAACCAGAAAACCGTTTTTGCACACAAACTTTCATACACAAAGCTTAGTCTAGCAATGTGAAGCAGGATCTTCGAGGTAATCTGAAACACTAGAGATCCAAACCAATATTAACCAAGGGCCAAAAGAAGGATAAAAGGAGCCAAGGGATTACAGCAAAATTAAAATAAATGAACCTAGACAACCAGAAAATAGATACTACATCCGTTCCAGTTTATGAGAACCTATTTCCTTTTTGGTCCGTTCCAAAAAGAATGACTCTTTTCTAAATTCGGAAACAATTTAGCTTAAATTTTCAATTCTACCCTTAATGAGAAGCTTTTATAATCACACAAATACTCTGGACCCCTTTTTGACTTGTTTAGGATCACAAATTTCAAAAGTCTTCATTTTTTCTTAAACTCCGTGCCCAGTCAAACAAGTTCACATAAATTGGAACAAAGGGAGTATGAAAAGAAAATAAGACTCCATTGATACCCCTTTCCAGATAAAAGTCTATAAACTTCAACTATCAGAGATATGGAAAGGTTCAACCACCAGAAACCACCAATTATTGCATTGAGGTCGATCTCTATCATTCTTCCTCAGCTATTGTTAAATCACATCTTGTGTCGTATATGCCTTGGTAGACAAAATTGCGCAAAGTTTCATGTGGATAAAGACTTTGGATGGAGTTGTGCACACAATTAATTACTCTTACTCTTTGTGTCCCAATTCCAAGTGCCTTTCTTTTACTAGAGAAGGCACTTGAGGTCAGAAGTAACGTTTTTACTGTATATAATTTGAAGTAGACCTTAAAAAAGTTGATTTAAAGTTAACCCTTAGAATAGTTTAACTGATTTAGTTTAAAAGCAAATCCCATATTACATTTTAAATAAATAAGGTGTTGAAAAGGCATTGTAGGGAGTCGACCTTGAGAAGAGGAAACATTTTTTGAACAATCGAAACAAAAATTAGGAAAATTACCTTAGACTGGAGTATTATGCGTGTTAAACAATTTTTATGAATCAACGGAATTATCTAAACCGAACTTCTATTCCTGGCAGGGAGTTGCGGTGCAGTAAATTGAGAACGGCACTAAGGTAAAAGCATTAGGTATCAAGATTGTTACTAGAAAGATACACACAGAGCAAGTGTTTATACTCACCATCAAAAGGGCTTGGCAAATGGCTATGACAATGACTCCTTGACTTCCAGCTAAATGGAGTCCAGGGATCCCTAGGTAGTCAAGTGTATCTCCCTGGAAAAAGATAGGGAGCAATAAATAAGAGAAAAGGCACATGCCATAAGTTCTGGATACTGAATTCATCAGGTCATTAGGGGTTCAACAATCCAATGGATATTTGATAAGAATAGTGAGCAATCATTATCATAAAAAGAATAAGTAACTATAAGCCCCCAGCAGAAGAAAGATGGTTTATCCTTTCAGCAGTCAAAATAAAAAGAGCATGATAAGTAGCGCAAGTGGACCCAAACTTGTAAAGAGAACTTTGGCTTGGACCATTTGAGTACATCAAAACTAAAAGAAACATTAGAAGTTCTGGGAAAAAAGACAAGTAAAGAGTCTAACAACTATTTGATTGCTAAACATTGTGTTATATATTTATAAATGCTAGAACTATACTTTGCATCACATTTACGCAAATTGTCAGCGAACGGTAGGAGAAAGGGTGATCGTCTGATCCTTAATTTAGCAGGGCAAATATCAATCATGAGAGAATCTGGAACTCTTAATATAAATAGCTAATGGCAGCATCAGCTGTTAACAAGGAAGTAGAGCAACAGCAGATGCACAAAAAATACCAACCTTAAGCTTTGAATAGCCCACACGCCACCAAACAGGTTCGACAAACTGAAAGAGTCCTGTCAGGTTTAACAGTTCTGGAATCAAAGCACCAAGAGCAGCCAGCATAGCCCACCGGGCGTGCAGTATTTCGTAACTGTGAAGCAACCATGACAACTGAAATAAGTTCCAAGAGAAATTTAACAGAGCTTCTCCATGGTTTCTGAACAAGAATAGTTTGTGTGAATGTGTGTTTATTGATATTTCGAGAACACCAAAAGGTTATACATTGAGAACTCTGCTAAACAACCACGCTGGAAGATTTTCAATCTCTCATCCCAAACACGTATGGCAGTAGAGCAACGTTCATGCCTATGCAAGTATGCATGGCCCTAAACCCTCATCAGGTACAAATTTTGCAACTCTTTTGCCCCTTCCCCTCAAATAACAATATCTAACATGTTTTGGCTACAATTTTTTCTCAAGAAACATGTCTACTTTGTTTCCGACTAAAAGAGGGTAGGGAATTTTACAAATCACCTAATCGCTAACTATCATGGTTATTTCTTAATAGCTTATTGAAAGTAGTGGCAATGTGCATTATTTAATGGGAAGCTAAGCGTAAAAGGTCAAAAATCAATTTATGAAATATGCTGCTGCTCTTGTTGATGAATATCATCAGTATCTACTCGGAACAAAAGTAATTCCTAACCAACTAATAGAAGCAAAAGGATAATTTTATACTTAAAGTACTTCTGGAGGGCCACGGGATCCTTGCTCAACCCCCAGATGTCAAATGCATAGTCCCCCGGTAGCTCCCCGGTAAGATAAGTAGGGTAGTCATAAGAAATTGGACCAAGCCAGCGGGGGCGATCTTCTCCATACCAGATACTGCAAAGTAGAGATAATAGATTTACAGGTTAGTGAATTCCTTGCAGTTGTAAAAACAAAGTGGAAATGTATCTACTATAGGCAGACAAAAAATTCTAAGCACGGAGATTTATACAGCTTAATCTAACAAAAGTTTGGCTATCATAGTCCTGAAATGTACACGGCTGAATGCAGTAAATGTACTAGTATTACATTTAAGAAAGTCTGCATCTTCCTTTTCATGGTTTCTCCACCATATTGTACATTTGTACTACGCTTTTAATACAGTTGATAATTCACTTCCAGCAGGAAATAACTCTTGGCAAAATAAATACATACAGTAAAATGGAAGAGAGCAGAAAACAAAGGGGCATGGCTTACCACGACATAGGGATAGGATGATTACCTATCGTTTCTCGCCATTTGTGCGAGTGCCTGGAACTTTGCGGAATTCTCTACGGCTACCTTCTTTTTCTCTTCCAAGCGTTTACGGAGTGTTTCGCCGAAGGTACTGTTGGCAATAGCTTTGACGGCGGTGAATGGAATCGCTGAGAATACCAAAACGCCGGCGAGCTTCAATTCAATAAAACGGGTTAGTTATTTGCAACCAGAAGAAGCAAAAAACAACAAAACACACAGACCTCTTGCCATGAAGCTTTGTGGCGCGAAAAGGGATTGAGTATACTTCGACTGGGAGAAAACTTTGGGAGGGTTATGAAAGTGGAGGATGAAGGATGGGGAAGCTGGAGCAGAGTCATGGCTTCTACCCTTTGCTCTTCATCCCTTCAGATTCATTACGTTTACTTTTGTGTGCGTGCGCCCAATGAGATCCTGACGTGGTTCCTTCCGACCCTCAAAAACCCAAAAGTAGACTGTTTTTTGCAAATAAGTAGTAATTATTGTTCAATATGACAAGATTAACGCCGACTAGCGTGAATATTCCTTTCACAACGAAAGGAAGAAATTGATAGTTGTATTATGTATTTATATTGCATAATCACACTTAATATAATGTCATGCATAATATTATTAAGGTCATTTTCCTTCTATAAATAGTAAATATTTTGTTCATTTGTAAAACATGTATCATTTGAATCTTCTTTTTCTTTTATATTATTTCACTTATATTTTTAGAGTAAAATAAAGTTTGAGTTGATTGTGTCCAAAGACTAGGCAAAAATCAAATTTTGCTGAACCTCGTTAATTTCTGGTGTTCTTTTTATTATTGTTTCACTTACTATTTATTAGCTACCTTAAGATATAATAGTTGTGATTTAATCTGTAACGACCCGGGCGGTCATTTCGAGTATTACAACCTCGTCTTCCCATTTACTGCTCAAGTTATGTTTTTCAGTTGTTTTATGAATTACCGGGTTAATTGGTTCGGGTCTGGTGAGGTTTTGGAATGATTTGGAACATTTAGTTCTAAGCTTTAAAACTTAAGTTGAAAAGGTTTTGTGGTGCCGAGATAGATTAATTAGTACAAAGATCTCGCCGCGGCTCGGACTTTTGGGGTTGAAAATGCACTAAAGAGTAAAGGAATTTTTTTGCCGGAAAAAAGTCATTTCTGCGGCCCACTATGCGTTCGCATAATCACTCTGCGGACCGCATAATGGCCGCAGAGTGAATCAGGAGTGGGGCAAGTGTGGAGGAAAGTTTGCGGCGCATTATGCAACCGTATATCAGTTCTGCGGTGCATTATGCGACCGCAAAATATGTGCGCGGATCGCATAACGACCGCAGACTGAGGCAGCCTTGCCCAGTTCCGGAGGCCACATTTCGCGGCCATTTCGCGAGCCGCAGAAGTGTTATGCGACCGCACAGTGTGTTTCGGGGCTTTATTTTTCTGGTTTTATAAACCCGACCCCATTCTTATAAAACACTATTTGAGTTATTTTGAAGGGTTTCATCTTATATTTTAGAGAGAGATGATAGCATTTTAGAGAGAGAAAGTGAAGACTTAGACATTTATCCATCAATTCATGTTCAAGGTTTGAAGATTTCACAAGGATCTTGCTAGAGCTTCAAAGAGGTAAGAATTTCTTTTTTCAATTCTTCAATTTCGGATTTGGGGTAAATGATGGGTGATTAAGAGTATGATTCTTGGGTGTGATAGTATTATTTATACATATACATACCAATAAGGTTTGTGGAAAGATTGTTGAGTTCAAATGGGTAAAAATTGAGTTGAAAATGGTAGAAATCTTCAAAGATTTAACTTAAGATTTGAGGGTCGAGTTGATGTCAGAATTTGATGAAATTTATATGGTTGAACTCGCGGTTGGATAGGCGTTCATATTTTGTAACTTTTGTCGGGTTCCGAGACGTGGGCCCCACGACCGATTTTTAATTTATTTTTGATTTTTTATTGAAAAATTAGTATTTTCTTATCGAATTAATTCCAATAATTTGTATTGGCTGAATAAAATTTATTGTGGCTAGATACGAGACTTTCGGAGACCAATTCACGAGGCAAGGGCATAGCAGAGTGAGAAATTACACGGTTTGAGGTAAGTAACACTTCTAAACTTAGTTCTGAGGGTATGAATCCTTGAATTACATATTATATGAATTGTTTGGAGATGACGCACACGCTAGGTGACGGGCGTGTGAGAATGCATCATAGGAATTGTGACTTAATTAATTTCGTGGAGTTGCATGCTTAAATAAATGTCATTATCCGCACATCCTCCACGTGTTAGAAAAATTGAACTGAGACTCATGTTAAATAACATGATTTGGCTACGCGCCGATATATTTTGGGACTCACATGGGTCGTATTGTTGTTGAACTATTTGTTTAAATTTACAATGTTGTACTTAGTCACATCTATCACTTGCATATCATATCTGAGTCTCTCTTGTCATTTATTGATACTTCATATCATCATGCCATGTTGACTTTTCATGTCATTGAGAGCCCGAGAGACTTGAGATTCTGAATGATAGTTATATTTATTTATTTATGCCTGAATCTGGCTATTATAGCGCTTGGGCTGATGGAGCCCATCCGGAGTCTGCACCCCCGCAGTGAGCGTAGTTGATATATATATATATATAAGCAGTTATATTGAGGGATGGATTTTCCCTGGGCATATATCTTGCCCGAAGTATTTATATTGAGGGATGAATTTTCCTTGGACATGAATCTTGTCCGAATAATTGATATTCGAGGATGGATCCTCCCATGGGCTGGATTGGCCTTATATAGTACTGAGAGACTGACTGTTAGTTGATGGATATACATATATATATTTGGGATAGATCTTCCTTGGGCTGGATTGGCCATATACAATACTGAGTAATTGAGTATTTTTAGATCGGGAGTACATAGAGTTTTCACTAAGGTGCATCACATACAGTATGTACATTGACATGTAGATACATAAATATCATATTCCTCACATTATTCAGAATTGATCTATTTTATTTGTACTGAGAGTAACTGTTGAATATGAAAGCATGCCTACATTTCTGTATTGTTATTTTCATACTAGACTATACTTGTTGAGGCTGTCACTACTTTCAGCCCAAAGGTTAGTCTTGTTACTTATTGAGTTGGTTGTACGCATACTACACTTTGCACCTCGTGTGCAGATCCAGGTGCTCCCGAATACGGCGGTTGCTAGATTTTAGAATTTATTCTATGGAGATTATCAAGGTAGTTGTTTAGCATCCGCATACTTTGACTCCCTTCCTTTTTTTGTTGTTATTGTACTGTTTTATATTTGCAGACAGTGATTTTATCAGTCAGATCTTGTACTCATTTAGTTGCTCATGTATTTAGTGACACCGGATTTTGGGAGTGTTTATATATGTATTTGTGAGATTTCTTCCGCTGAATCTAACTATTATGTTTTTAAACTTAAAAGATATGGTGGTTTATTGAGATTGTCGGCTTGCCTAGTATTGAGATAGGCGCCATCACGACAGATGAGATTTTGGGACGTGATATAATCACTCTCTATATATTCGGCTAACACAATAATTGATATCAGAGCCAAGGTTCTATCTTAGTATGCTTTGTGGTTGCAGTATATTCTGAACTTCGATATCAGAAAAGAATTACTTTTGTGTTATGTACTGTCAGCAAATAAATAATATCTGTAGCAAAAATAGGAGATAATAAAAATAAAGAGTCTACATTGGGTGTCAGTAATACGTCGTTGGCATTTTCGCTTATGACAAGAATTATGTCAAATGCGAAATTTGCAGTTGAAATTTTTGATGGGTCAGGACATTTCGGGATGTGGCAAACTGAGGTTCTTGATGTCATTTTTCAACAAGGGCTAGATATTGCCATAGAAGAAAAGAAACCAGACAATATCGGAGAAGGAGATTGGAAGATTATCACCCGCATTACTTGTGGTACCATTCGATCTTATCTCGTAAGAGAACAGAAGTATCCATACACAAAAGAAACTTCTGCAAGTAAATTGTGGAATGCATTGGATGATAAATTCTTGAAGAAAAACAGTTAAAATAAACTTTACATGAAAAATAAAGACTGTTACGCTTCACATATATTCCTGGTACTACAATGAATGATCATATCACCAGCTTTAATAAGTTGGCGATAGATTTGCAGAATATGGATGTGATTTTAGTGATGGAGATATGGCCTTAATGTTATTAAGTTCACTTCCCAATGAGTACGAGTACCTCGAAACTACTCTACTTCATGGGAATGATGAAGTGTCTCTCAAAGAAGTTTGTTCTGCCTTGTAATGAACAAAGAAAGGGAGAAAAACAAAATAGTGGAGAAGGAGAAGCACTGGTCGTGAGAGGTCGTTTTTAGAATCATATGAGAACGAAGAAAGGAAGATCCAAGTCAAGATCCAGACCCAGCAAAGATGAATGCGCCTTTTGCCGAGAAAAGGGGTACTGGAAGAAAGACTATCCAAAGTTGAAAAACAAGGCCAAACCTAACAAAGGGAAGGCTCTCATGGATTCAAATGTAGCTGATTGCGACAACTCTAATTTCTCACTAGTTACAACTGAGCCATTCAAACCATCTGACATATGGCTGATGGATTCATCTTGAAGCTATCATATGTGTCCCAACGGGGACTGGTTCGTTGATTTTCAAAAAGGAGAATGTGGAGTTATGCACACCACAAACAACAATCCTCTTACCGCATATGGTATTGGTTCAATCCAATTAAGGAACCATGATGGATTTATCAGAACATTAACAGATGTTCGATACATACCGGAATTGACGAAAAATCTCATTTCTATAGAAGCCCTAGAGTCAAGCGGATTCAAAGTTGTGGCAGAAAATGGGGTAATGAGAATATGCTTATGTGCACTAGTGGTAATGAAGGGAATTCAGAGAAATAATAACATGTACCACTATCACGGTAGTACAGTTATTGGGACAACAATAGTGACATCCAGTGATGACAAGGAGTCAGAAGCAACCAAGCTATGGAGCATGCGCTTGGGACATGCTCGAGGAAAATCCTTGAAAATTTTATCAGATCAAGGATTGTTAAAAGGAGTAAAGACATACAATTTGGAGTCTTGTGAGTATTGTGTCAAGGGGAAACAGACAAGGGTTAAATTTGGAACAGCTATCCACATTAGGTGGGAAACACTATTTTGTAACCTTTATTGATGACTTTTCCCGGAGAGTATAGGTGTATACTATGAAAACCAAAGATGAGTTACTGGGAATTTTTCTCAAATAGAAGGCAACGATAGAGACTCAAACATGCAGAAAGATAAAGTGTCTCTGCACAAATAACGATGGAGAATACAAAAATGATATTTTACAATAAGATTTGTGAAGATGATGACATTTTGAGATATTTCACCGTCAGAAATACACCAATACAAAATGGAGTGGCAGAACGTATGAACCAGACTTTG